AAACCACCAGATATAACAGATGTACACAGAACACCTGACCCAACAACAATATCATACACATTCTTCTCAAGTGCACACAGGACATTTTCCAGGATAAAGCATATGTTAGACTACAGGTTAGCTCTCAATAGATTTTAAAAGGTAGATGTCACACAAAGCATCTTCTCCAACCACAACAGGCTGAAGATAGTAGAAATAATATGTTTAAAACTGGAAAATTGACAAATTTGTGGAAATCAAACTACACATCTTAAACAGCCAGTGGATTAAGTAAGAAATCACACAGGAAACTGGAAGATACTTAGAGAGTAATGAAAATGAAAATGCATCATACCCAAAACTTATGGAACATAGCAAAAGCAATACTAAAGGGGAAATTTATAGCTGTAAATGCTCACATTAACAAATAAGAAAGCTTTCAAATCAACAATCTAACTTTGCCAATTAAGGAACCAGATAAAGAAAAAGCAAACTAAATCCAAGGATAACAGAAGTAAGGATATAATTAAGATTAGAGCAGAGAAAAGTGAAATTGAGAATAGAAAACATATATATATATACACACACACACATACATATATACATATATATATATAAATTCAATGAAACCAAATTTGGTTATATAAAAAGATCCACAAAACTGACAAACCTTTAGCTAGTTTGACTAAGGGGAAAAAAAAACCCTGAGAACACTCAAATTACTAAAATCAGAAATGGAAGTGGGGGCATTATACCAAGTCATTCTATAGTAATAAAAAAGATTATAGGAAAGTACTGTGAAAAAATGTATGCCAACAAATTGGATAATCTAGGTGAAATGGACAAATTCCCAAAACCTACCAAAATAATTTTTGAAGAAATAGAAAATCTGAAGAGATTTATACAGTAAGTTGATTGAATCAGTAATCAAAAATCATCCAACAAAGAAAAGCATTGGACCCGATGCCTTCACTGGTGAATTCTACCAAACATTTAAAGAATTAACACCAGCTCTTCTCAAACTTTTCCAAAAAATTGAAGAAGAGGCAATACTTCCCAACGCATTCTATGCTGTCATCATTACCCTGATACCAAAGCCAGACAAAGACACTACAAGAAATCCATCAACCAGTATTCCCTTATGAACACTGATGCAAAAATCCTCAACCAAACCAGCAAAATGAATTCAGGAGCATATTAAGAGGGTTATATACCATGACCAAGTGGTATTTATTACTGAATGTAGGGATGATTCAACATATGAAGTACACATAAACAAGGTAACACACTGCAACAGAATGAAGGAATAAAAATTCACATGATCTTCTTGATGCAGAAAAAATTTCAACAAATGAGACAAATTCAATGTCATTTTATGATGAAACACTCAATTTGTTAGGAATACCAGGAAACTACCTCAAGAAAAGAAAAGCCATATATGAATAACCCACAGCAAACATAATATTCAGTGGTGAAACACTGAAAGCTTTTCCTCTGAGATCAGGAACAAGACAAGAATGACCTTTTCTGCCATTTTTATTAACATAGTACTTGAAGATATAGCTGGAGTAGTTGGACAAGACAAAGAAATAAAAGGCATCCAAATTGGAAAGGAAGGAGTGAAATTATCCTGTTTGCAGATGACATAATCTTGTATATAAAAAACTCTGAAGATTTCACCAAAAACTGTACAACTAATAAATGAATTCACTAAAGTAGCAGAATACAGTCAACACACAAAAATCATTCATATATAATTAACAATCTGCAAAAGAAATTATGAAAGTAAGTCCATTTATAAAAGTATAAAAAATATTTAGGAATAAACTTAACCAGAGAAGTGAAATACTTATACAATGAAAACTATAAAGCATTACTGAAAGAAATTAGAAAAAACATGAATAATGAATAAATGGACATAACCATATCTCATGTTCATGGATTGAAAGACAATGTTGTCAAAATGTCAGTAATACCCAAAGTGGTAGAAGGATTCAATTCAATGTAGTCACTATTAAAATTCCAATGACTTTTTTTTTTTTTTTCAGAAATAAAAAATCCCATCCTAAAATTCATATGAAATCTCAAGGGAGTCAGAATAACTAAAACAAACTTGAAAAAGAACAAAGGTGGAAGACACATACTACCTGATATTAAAACTTGCTGAATAGTCAAAATAGTGTGGGGCTGACATAAAGACACATAGACAATGGGATAGAAGAGTCCTCAGAAATAAACCCTTGCTTACATGGTCAAATGATTTTTGATGAGGGTGCCAAGACAGATGGTGTTGGAAAACTGAATATCCAAAGGTAGAAGAATAAAGCTGGATCCTTACCTAACACTATATGATAGATTAAAAAAACCTAAAACCATAAAATTCTTGCAAGAAAACGTAGGGTTGTGCTGCACAACATTGGATATGGCAATGATTTCCTGCATATTACACCAAAAATGCATGCAAAAACAGAAAAAAAAACAGACAAATTGGACTTAAGGAAAATCTTAAAATTTGTACATCAAAAGACAGTATCAAGAGAGTAAAATGGCAACCCATAGACTGGTAGAAAATATTTGCAAATCATATATCTGATAAGAAGGAGGATGGGTGCCTGTGTGACTCAGTTGTTTGGGCAAGTGCCTTGGGCTCAGGTCGTGATTCTAGAGTCCCAGAATCAAATCCCACATTGGGCACTGAGCTCCATGGGGAGTCTGTTCTCCCTCTTACTCTCATGCTCTCACTCTCTCTCTCTCAAATGAATAAGTAAAAATCTAAAAAAAAAAAAAAGTTTACACAGGGTGACTCAGTCAGTTAAGCAGCTGCCTTTAGCTCAGCTCATGATCCCAGGGTCCTGGTATGGAGCCCCACGTCTGGTTCTCTGCTCAGCGGGGAGCCTTCTGCCTGCTGCTCTCCCTGATTGTGCTTTCTCTCTGTCAAATAAATAAATAAAATATTTTTTTTCTTTTTTAAGAAAGGAGGTTACACTTGCTGTTTCCTTTTTCATTCCACTAATGTTTAGATATTAATATCTAATATTAATACATATCTAATATCTAATATGTAAACAACAAAAAAGAAGCAATCTGATTCAAAAATGGGCAAAATACTTAATTAGACCTTTCTACAAAGAAGATATACAAATAGCCAATAAGCATATGAAAAGATACCCAGTTTGGCTATTAGAGAAATGCAAGTCAAAACTACAGTGAGCTACCACCTTTCAATCATTGAGATGGTCACTATCAAAGATTGGAAAATAACAGATGTTGGTGAGGATGTAGAGAAATTGAAACTTTGTGCACTGTTGGTGGGAATATAATGTGTAGGTACTGAATACAGTATATGCTCCTTCAAAAAATTTAAAAACAGGATTACCGTGATGACTCAGCAGTTCTACTTCTGAGAATGTGCCCCAAAGACTTGAAAGCAGTGTCTTGAAGAGATATTTGTACAACCATATTTGTGGAAACATTTTTCACAATAACTAAAATATGAAAACAACCCAAGTGTCTATTAACAGGATGAATGCAAAATATGTATATATTTGAAATGGAATATTACTTGGCCTCAAAAGGAAGGGAATTCTGACATATGTTTCAACCTGGATGAACCTTGAGAATATTAATCAAAATGAAATAAGCTAACCATAAAAAAGAAAAGTACTGTGTGATTCCAATTGTATAAAGTACTTCATGTAGTCAAAAATCATAAAGATAAAAGTAGAATGGGACAGATGTTGAGGAAAGGGAAAAATAAGGAGTTACTGTTTGATGAGTATGGAATTTCAGTTGTAAAAGATGAAAAGAGCTGTGAAAATGGATGGTGGCAATGGTTGTACAACATTGTAAAGTGTTTTCTTTTTTAAAGATTTTATTTATTTACTTGACAGACAGAGATCACACGTGGGCAGAAAGGCAGGCAGAGAGAGAGAGAGGAGGAAACAGCCTCCCTGCAGAGCAGAGAGCCCGATGCAGGGCTAGATCCCAGGACTCTGGGATCATGACCTGAGCCAAACGAAGGCAGAGGCTTAACCCACTGAGCCACCCAGGTGCCCCTGTATAGTGTTTTAAATAACACTGAATTGCACACTTAAAAATGGTTAGGGTGGTAAATTTTATATCGTGCATTTTACCACAATAAAAAAAATTAGGGTGGAGAAAAGTCTTTGGAAGGCATCCATTCATCCAGTGTTGTTGGGGAACATGACAAAGACAATGGAAGAAGGAGGTTTCATCTGCCAGCTGCTTCCTTTTTCATTCCACTAATGTTTAAATATCACTGGTCTTTGGGTGCCTGGATGGTTCAGTCAGTTAAGCATCTCAGAGTCCTGGGATGGAGTCCTGTGTCAGTTCCCTACTCAATGGGGAGTCTGCTTCTCCCTCTACCCCCCCATACCCTGTTCCTCCTTGTGCACTCTTTCACTCTCACAAAAATAAATAAATAAAATCTTTTAAAAAATAAAAAGCTATCACTGGATTTTAGAATTTCTTTAAAAATACTATTGCCTAAAAGTTATAAATATATAGAAGTGAACTAACAGTAATCATATGTTTTAGTAATTAGATGATGTATCAATAGAATGGAATGTTATTTTTTTAAATGTGAAAATAGTATTTAAATGTGAAAATTGAAATGTATTATGTGATCCAGAGGAAATAAGATTATTAAGGGCATAGTGATTGTAATGATGTAAAAAATGCACAACATGAAAAAATGAAATTGTAGTTAGGCAGATTAAATTATGTGTCTCTGGTAATAATTTTTCATTTCTTCAACTATATATTCTCTTACATTTAAAATAAGGGGAGGGGCACCTGGTTGGCTCAGTGGGTTAAAGCCTCTGCCTTCAGCTCAGGTCATGATCCCAGGGTCCTGGGATTGAGCCCCACCATAGGCTCTCTGCTCAGCAGGGAGCCCGCCTCCCCCCTCTCTCTGCCTGCCTCTCTGCCTACTTGTGATCTCTGTCTGTCAAATAAATAAAATCTTAAAAAATAAATAAATTAATTAAATAAAGGGAAAAAAACCTTCCCAGCCTTTTAGCTAAGATCAAGGGTAGTATCTGTTCTTACTAGTTTAAAATAAGGAAAAACTAATCCCTCTAAGAAGTTAAACTGTCTACAGTCTCAGGAGGTCACCACCTACTAAATTTTGTGACTCACCTAGTTGGAGGTTTGACCACACCCCTAATACTCCCTTACAACAAGATCTCCTTAAATCTGTCTCATTGCTCCTCTGTCAGACCCTTGCTTTTGTATGAAGTCAGTTGCTGTGTTCATCACCATTCCAGTCCCAGCTCATAGTAGAGACTTCCGTTTCTTGTGTCAAATTTTCCAGCCTTACTCAGTTTATTACCCACCCGCTGTGATTGCAGTAAAGATGGCAGAAGCCATTTAAAAAGATTACATTAGAAAGTCTTTAAGTTACACACACAAAAAAAAAATTCCAGGATAAGAATAAATTCTAAATTTGCTTTGGATGTAAGCTTTTCACAGCAATGACAAAATTGGGCAAGTGTGAACAATCATAACAAATGCCTCCTTACTCAGATGAACCCTGTGTGGCATTTTCTTTGCACATTGGAGCAATTGCTTTCTCCTTCCACTCAGGACTGACTCATCATTATTGTTTAGTCTCTAATGAACACCGATAAAATATTCAGGGTGCCTGAAATTTTTAACTTTTTCTTAAAGTTTTGAAATGATGCTCTTGAGTGCATGACTAAAGGTATCCTATAATAAAAGTACATAAAAATGGTCAACAAAATGAAAGTGTCAAGAAAGATGGTCTCTGTGATGATTTCGAAAGATGCTTGCTGCTGACCTGGCTTTTATTTCTTCTTTAAATATTAATTGTTGATTTGCTGGTTTGAAAGCTTAGCTTCCAGTGCAGAGAGGTCTATGGCTATGAATTTCTGATTTGTTTTTTTATTTGAAAGAGAAAACTGGATTCCACTGCTCCCACGAGGGTGTTGGGGTTTGTGTGCTAATTCCACCTGTGTGTAATATGTGGTTACTACACTTGCTGAGTCTCCATGTCTTGTTTTAGTGCATCGTTGTGCTAGGGATATTGGTGAGGAAATTTGTCTGTGAAAAATAGCAGAGCGATAAAAACGGGAAAAAGAAAAAAAAAGCAAAGGCAGCACTTTCCATTCTGAATGTGTTTCTTCTTAATCCTATCTCGACTCCTCACACATCCCAAGGAGGTAGTTTGATATAATGGAAATGATAAACTTTGGTGTGTGACCATTTTTGGCCCTGCAATTTAAAAGCGACATGATTTTCGGGAAGATTCCCCATCTGTAAAATTAAGGATAATATCTATCTTGCAAGGATTTTGTGAGAATTAAGTTCAATACTGTGTATAAAACAAGTATCAGCCATTAAAGCATGTGTCTGGTGTATCCATAAAACCTCTGGTTTCACCTTAATTTTCCTAGCCTGATATATCTGTGACTCCTAGTCTATATATTTGTTTTGCTCCTTTGAAAGCTGCCTTAAATTTTCTGGAAGAGTGAGAATATGCTGCTTATTAATTTATTGCTTCTCAGCACCGAACCCACACTTCCTTTGTCCTGCATTGTGCTACTGAAGCCGGACTCAACAAATATTTATTCTTGGCCTGTGGCTCAGGGTTATAGTTCTGCCAATGGCAAGCACAGAGGGAGGTTCCCTGCCGTGGCTGCTTGTGTTCACCTTACAGGTCTCTTCTGTCCCATCCGCTGTTAACCACATTTTATCATGATGAACCAACATAGTTAACAGGTCTTTATTCCCTGTGCAAATTACTGGTATGGCGTCTGTGTCCTGACCAGGCCCTGATGAATACTCAGAGAGTGAAATGTGATCGACAGAATTGATTAAATTCAAGATGACTTTTATTTAATAAATTTGAGCGTGTTATTTCACTGAGAATATAAAAAGGAGTAAGACAAAGTCCCTCCTCTCAAGAAACTTAGAGCATAGTGGATTTCCAGGATCACAGCGTGGGAAGAATGTTTAAGATCAGTTTTCTATTTCAACAGCTTGCTTGTGAAACATCTATAGTAGGGTCACCTTTTGGTCTGGCCTCTAACACTTCCTCGAGAGACAACTGCATTTTGGCCTTCATAGATTATCATCCTGTTCTTCCTCATTTGAAACAGGACTTACTGCCTTGTATTTCATTTATCGAACAAAATTCTACCTTCTGGTATAATTGGTGAATCCAGGAAATATTTATTGGGCACCTTCCATACACCAAACACTATTGTAGATTCTAGGGTCGCATCTGTGAATAAAGATGAGGATTCTCTGCCCTCATTAATCCTAGGTTCTAGTGCAGAGGCAAAGAAGAAATGAGTCAACAAAGAAATATAGAAGATGATATTGGGAGGGAAGGACATAAACCTCGTGGTGCCTAGCAAGTGCCTGGGGAAGGTGGGATACTCCTTTAGAGAAAGTGGTCATCAAAGTCCTCTCTAAAAAAGTGTTATCAGAAATGGTTTGGCATGTCAGCAATCCGGTAGGAGCCTGTGTGTCTGGACCAAGGTAGGCACAAAGGCAGGTGGGACAAAATGAGGATGCAGCAGTTTTAGGGCTAGCATACAATGGGAAACCCAATGAGGGTTTTAAGCAGGGAGTTCCATCATTTGCCTTGGTGGGGGGGAGTCTCTCTTTTCTCATGAATATTTTGTTTCTATTCATCTACCCTGTACCATGTCCCCTCCTCTTCCCTCTTCTCCCAACCCATGTTATCCACCTCCATATCAAAAATTCTCAGCTTCTTCAACAGTATTAGCCCACTTGTATGCTGTGGTTCTCAGGCCCCTCTTATCTCGATTTGTTGATTTGTTCATATCCCAGAATTAAACTCTTTATATTTTGCATTCTAAATGTGATCTGACCAATGCAAATAAAGGGACCTTGTCCCCTGGTTTGGGTGCTAGATAATTTTTAATTCTTTTTTAAGGAAGCAAATTCTATTATGGTCTTGACTTTTGCCAAGACAGTGCTTACTTAATCTGGAATATGGTGAAAGCAGATTGTTTTCATTTTCTCTTTCAGTTTTATGGAATTGAGTTCTTGAATCAGAATGGAGAAGCATCTTTTTCAGTTTTAAAGGTTGTCATGTTGGTATTATCAAGTGTTTTTATCCAAATTATTTCTTTGCCAGTGTCTAGGTATCTATGAATTGCCTTTCAGAAATTGTCACAATTAAAAATCAGATGTGAATGATTATGAAATCTCCATGTAAACTTTAGAAATTAGCATTAGAATTCTGTCACTGTCACAGTGACACATGTAATTTCAGTTTCCTAGAATTCCTCAAAATTCTTCCAGGCTTTTCCATATTGGTTACTCTGGAAGTAGGGAAGAAATGAGGAGGAAAGGGAAAGAATCCCCTTGATTCTATAGTAAAATGCATAACCAATCCTTTTGCTAACTAGGATTTATGGAAGGGGTTTGAAATGCATAGAGAAGCTTGTAAGAAATACTTCCTATCTATGCTGAGAAAAAGTTATATTTGCATTTGAAGACATCTAAAAAATAGGATAAATAAGTGTAGTTGAAAAACATCTCTCAAAAAATTATAATACACACGAGGCATGGCTTCTTAAAAAAAATTAGTATTAAAGCTTATCCACTATAGCAAATACGTGACAAAGTCTAAGATGTTGCACTGATTGTGACTATAGGGGACCCAGATTTTCTGCAGATGTTTGGGATTCAGTGATATTGCCAGACACCAGGAATACATTTGTGCTCAATTACAACGTGTAGAATGCTGCATTGGGCTCTATTAGAATTTGTTTTCTGTTACATTTGATTATAATTGAATCATAGAACATTTTGGTTACTTTAGAGAACTCCTGGTTCCTCTCTGAAAGAATCCTTCTTTGTTTTTGCCTGAGTACTCAGGCAAGGAAACAACTATTATGTCATCATCTTCAGAAAGGTGAAGACACGACAAATACTTTCAAAATATGAAAATAAGGAGGTCAGTGAAGTTTAAGTGGAAAGGGTGCTATAGATCTGGCTGAGTGTCTACCCTGGAGACGTTCTTCCCTTAATACTTAACTGCCAAGACCGCAAGTTTGATTGGGACAGCAGTGTACCCGTATTAGAAAACACAAACTTCTCAGAGGCCTTGCAACTATGGGGAGTTGTGTGATCTGGCTTAGTCAGTGAGATATAAATATTAAGTCATTGGGATTGGGATTCTGGAAATGCTATTGCTGACCTATTTTCAAATTTTTAAAAAGACAGTTTGAGCTGGCATGTATTCTTTTTTGTGCCTTCGCCTTTTGTTTCCTAGAATATGATTTTGAGAGTGAAGCACCTTCTTGTAACCATGAGTCAACAAATAGGAAGAGGAATGGCACATGATCAGGGTGGTTGGACACACAGTTAGGTTGTGTGGGCCTTATGGGCATAATGAAGCCACCGGACAGCCTGGGGCTGCTAACTCTGGACTCAGGGTCCTGTGAACAAAATTAAACCATATTATAATAGGGTTTTGTTTACATGTAGATGAATGCTGTCCCAACATTGAGCAATCTGACCACAAAGATGAATAAATTTGACTTGATTCTTTACAGAAAATCTCTTTTGTGAAGTCAGCAGTGTTGGATTAAACTGATCCACGCTAATGTCTGTGATGGCTTATTTGATCATTTGAGCAAAACTTTCGAATAAATGTCTTCAAGGAAAATATACCCTATTTCCGTTTCTGTGGATTACTCACAGTAGGCCAAAAATAGTGGCCAAATTTAACTCTCTTCTTACCGAATATCATGGTTCATACTGAGTGAAAAATAGGGGCCCAATTAGACCTCCACTGGGCCTCTTCTTTTAAGTGGTTGTACACACATAAGTGTACATACAGGCGCACACACACACACACACACACAGACTGAGAAATACATCAGGCACTTCCTACACACAAATACCTGAAAGAAAATGTTCTCTCTTCTCTCTTGCATGTCTCTCAAATGCAAGTAGGATTATGAGCTTTTGGCTGTTTGCCTGCCTTTTAGTGCAAATTACCTTTAAGATGAGGGCCCTTAATCATAATGGATTTAGCCTGCGCCGCTATACAATGCTGACAACACATGTCTTATTAATGAGTATTTCAAGCATCCATTTCAGTATATCTTATCTCATATGACAGGAAAATATTCCAATAAATCTTTTCTCTTCCATTCATCACAGGTTTGGCAACAGGAGTGTGAG